CGGGAGCGCTTGCTCGTCTCTCTCTCCTTTGGTGACCGTTTGCGGTCACGATACGAACGTGTCGTGCGACGTATTCGTGAGTTCTTCAACGCGAGGTTGTTCTCGTCCATACCCGCCGAGTTTTCGGACCAGTGTTGTGAATGTGAAACGGGAAGAGCCAGAGAGCCAGCACGGGCGGGCTCCAGTGCTCCGTAACTGTGACTCTTGAAACTGCTCCACTCGGTGACGACGGCGACGACGTCGTCGTCGTGGTGTAGAAGACGAGGAAAAGACGTAAAGCGTATTATCATCATCTTCATCAGAGCGTCAATCCATCCAAGCATCGGTTCTAATAGGTGTTGTTCGTAATCGACGACGACCCGCCTTGGACTGCTATTCTAGACTACTGGGGACATCGTGCGTCTATCTATCTTGTCTGTCTGTGTTTTCTCGGTCTGAATCGTGCAACTTAGAAGAGGAAAAAAGGAAAGTAAAAGAAGAAGACGATCCAGCCCGCCCTGTTCTAACCATCCGTGACATTCTGTGCGCACAAAACCCGTCTAGTGTCCGTCCCTAATTGTATTGGTTGCTGCCTATCCAGAGTGAGACTTCCGAGTCAGTCGGTGTGCTCCACGTGAAACGTCCGTAAGACATCAGAGTCGTCGTCATCAACAACGACTCCAAACCAACACACACCTCATCTCCATCATCTTGAGAAACTGCGTGTTCGCGAAGTTTGCGTTCCACGTAAACTCACGTCCTTGAAATCTATATCTCCGATTCGGTCAGCCGTAGTGAAGCTTCTCCATGAGTCCAACCAGCACCCTGGACGCCTATAACATGGACCTGACTACGGCCGCCTATCGGTACAACGCTACCATGATGGAGTACTACAGCTGTAAGTACTAGTTGTCGCGTCGGAAAAACTTACGGAAGGATTCGGGGGAAAGAACACGACCGAGATGCTCAGCGTTGTGGGGATGTGCCTTACTTACTTTCGAGGTTCCCGGGACGAGCTCCGAGCTCTCGGATTTGCTTTCGTGTGAGGCTGTACCGGAGCTTCGGTACCGGCTGTCCACGCTGTCCGACGTCCGAAGCTTCACTGACTTTGCGAAACTCTCATCTTCCCGTCGTCGGCGGCGGCGGCGGCGGCCATCCGCTCTGTGAATTATTTACGTGGTTGAATCTTTTACCACCAAGGGCCGCACGACCAGTGGTATCTTTCTTTTGGGGTAAACCTAATTTTCCGCCGGGGCAGGGGCACTAGCCATGGAACCAGTTGCTTCTGAGAGGCCAGTACCTCCAGACGGTCCAACAAGGCAACATCTGCCCTCTCGAGTGACCGACCGATCGGCCGAGCGACCGACCAACCAACCAGCTGAGGGTTTGGCAAAGAATCAGCTCGAGGTCTGTTCGGAGAGAAATTGGAATTTTTTGGAAAGTTGCCGCGGTAGCGTGTGGTGCTCAGGCACGCTCAGAAACCATGGATTTGTGGACCTACTGCCACTACCTTCTGAGAGTTTCTTCCATAGGACATAGACTGTCGGTATCGGGTGAGTCCCACGACATGGTCGTCATTAGCGAAGGGTTATCGGAGGCTTTGATCGTCGTTCGGCAGGCTCCGTTAGCCTCGGTCAGAGCCCTGCGTAGGGCTAATCCGGACTTACTAGAACAGAAGCGAATCGGCTGGAGACAGCCCGAGAACAGGAAGACCGGAGATACAGTTCGAGTCGACGGAGTCATGTCACAAAGCAGTGGGTTTCGATTTGTCGGACTCGGGTCGAAATGCCCGTCGAGAGTTGCTTCTGTCAAAACTGAGCTTTTCGAGCCGAGCTCCGAGTTGAACTCGAGCCATCCGATAGCTCACGCCAACCTGAGAAGCACGATTTTTTCTCTGAAGTGCCTTCTTCGCTCGTCAGTGTAAACGTCCGTGTGGTGATCTGCGACCACAGATCAGTTTGCTGGCTGGTTGCCGGGCTAGCTACCTACTAGCTGACCCGCTATCTTGATCTAGCGGACGATTGATCCGATTCGGAACGATGGAGTTCGCGATAGAGCTCCTCATTCATCGCTTAACCCGGGGCCTTTCCACCGAGGCATGTGAGCGCTACGAGGTTCCGAGGAAAGAGAATTCTCTATCCGCGCCCGGAGAGTCCAGCGCAAATTGATGTCGATTTTTTTTCCTGACCCGAACCCCTGATCACCGAAAACCACAGGTTCGGTACCGTGCGACGACGTGCAACGCTCGCGGACAACAATGAGTTCAAACATGCGTAAGAAATGATCAACAAATGAGAACGCTCCGAGTCCATTGTGGCTCCGTCGACTTCTCGAAGAGTCAGGAACGCTGCTCTTGAAGCATCTCTGCGACTCGCTCGCTTTCTTTCCATTGTGCTCCATTGTGCGCTCTCTCGGTCTCCATCGAATCGGTGTACCTCCTCGACACTCTGTTGAGAGCTCTTCATTATCACCTCATTCTACCTCATTCAGAGGATACTCGCTCGCACACCGCCAAACGAGCGGCGAGATGGACCAACTGGAAGATCATGCTGCCGAACATCAAAGTGACTACATAGAGGTTACACTCGGTCGGGACTCGAACCCCGGCGGAGATTGATGTGTCTCAATTTAGTTCGAGTCGATCGGCGCGACTCTGTATCGTCTTCTCAGCCCGGGCGGCGGATCTTTTCTGACCGAAATATCTTTCCTCTCGGGATATCGATGATCCCGAATTCTGATTTCCATCGCATTCCAGCCATGAGACTTATTGATACATCTTCTCACGTACGAAACGCGCTCTGCCAGGTCTGCCGGTCGACGACGGCCTCGACTCTTGCGGAAGCGGGTGCCGCCCTCTTCCTCATCAGTGAGGCGTTGTTTGGACTGGATTTGTTGCAACAAATTACCCATCTCGAGAACGGTCAGGTTTTTCACCTGTTTTCTTTTTTTTTCCTCATCCCACCGTGACTGTCACACTCTGCAAACGGAGCCTGCGAAATTTATCGCCGTCATTTAGAGACAAAACAACTCTCGAAATGCACCGATGCGCATGCTTTGATTCGAGCGCGAAATCAACCGATCGCGTCGTCATGGGCCGAAGAAAAAATTCACCGCCTCACCAAAACCCATCCGGGTCGGAGTTTTGCATATTTCCCCAGTCGGATAGTTGTTTCGTCGTCGCGTTTTGTTTGTCACTGGTCGTGGTTTGTGGAGAGCGCTTGCGGCTAACCGTATGTTGTCTTTAATAGCCGCTATATTTCACGGATGCCACAATCCGTGCACTACAATGAATCCACGAATATATATCACTGGTCTGTCGGTGTGTCCGGACGGCTGAGTGTCAGTGATCGGACTCTCGGTCGAGTCACTCGAACCGAGGAGAATACACCGTACTGGTGTTCGTACCGCGAGGCCTCGATCGCCTGTCAGCCGACTCGCCCGCCCGCCTGCCTGCCTGCCTGCTTGCCTATCTCCCTACCTACCCGAGCTGGAAACGAATCTGGCGGCTCACAGACATCTCACCGTCCGTATTGGTTTTTGTGATTCGACTTCGCGGCTCTCGTTTCGAAAATCATCGAATCCCGACCAGCTCTACATAGTTGGCACAAGGCAACACAGCACGACGTCAGAGTTACCTACTCCAAGATTGTGGCTTCCACGTAAGAAGAATCGTTGCTGTCTCGCTTGTTCCGCGTGAATCAGTTTTTGGTTTTATCAGCCAGACCATTAGTTCGCGCTTCTCCATTACGAGTTGCGAGAGATACAGGGACAACATGGACAAGGGCGAGAAAAAGAAGGCTCGATTCCTAATACAACACAAGTCGACAGTCATAGAATGCTCGCTCTCAAAAAGAGCGCAAAGCGGAGAAGGGACCTCCAACGCGAAATCCCCGCAGATTGGAATCATTTCCACACAAAGAAACGGCACTGATCTCGACCGGCAGCTTCGAGTGTGGCCCGGCTGAAAGCGTTGAAACAGTCCGAACCGGGGTTCTCTGTTCGGTTTTGGCCTTTTTTTTCGACCCCGTTTTCCACCTTGGAAAACACCTCTTCCATCGAATGTCTTCATTGGATTCATCCGCGCTCGTCGCTGTGTTTTTCTCCGATTGTCAACGAACACTCGCTTATTTGTGTTGAGCAAATCTTATCTAGACAACGATACGGAGGGAAACCTCTAAGTGCTCCATTATAATGAGTTAGGCGAGCTTGGAGAGGCATCTACCGCCGACGGTGACAATCCGTCTACGAGAGCCTTTACGCTGACATTTCAAGAAGAGAGATTTCTGTTTCGCTCTTAGTTTGTTCGTATAATCGCGGACGCTTGTCTGATCTCATCGGTGAGTATCAGGTTGGAAGTCCACCTACCACACCGGCTCATCTCCGAGTGCAGCTCGGAAACTGTCCGTCGGCTCCGGATTCCTGACCAGAGACACCTGACGATCCGGAACACGTGTTTCTTCGCCCTCTGTCTTCTCCGATGAGCTTTCTGTCTGAGAGGATCGTTTCCACCGACGAGCGTTTGGTTAGCCGTCCCGCGAGCTCGATCGACTCCCTGTTTCAGTTGCTTAGCGCACTAGTTGTATCGTCGCCGCTTATTTCGTTCGATGCCGCTTCGAAGAAAGCCCGCGTTACGAGAAGACTCTCGGGCTGCTCGGGGCGGCAGCCTTGCTGTCCTTCGAGTCCGCTTCGGCTGATAAATCTCCTACTTCCTGAGTGGTATGGCTTCTTCGAGTGGTACACGTACCCTACTTCTTTTGGGAGGAAGGCAGGGAGTCCGGCAGCTATTCGAAGGGCATTAATGGTGGGCACATAATGTACAGCGAGCACTTCACTGCCGGCTCGTCCTCGAAGCTACTTATCCAATTGATAGCTTTCGCGCGGTAGCTCCTCCGCATCGACTGTGCCGAAGGGGCGTTGTCTGTGATCAGCGAGAGGTCCCACCAGCCGTGGAATAGACAGGACGTCACCACGAGTTTTGCTCTTCTCGCCGATGTCTAAATATTACGTTTTCTTCCCTTCAGGTCACGGTGGCGTAAACCAGCTCGGCGGCGTATTCGTCAACGGCCGACCATTGCCTGATGTAGTGCGGCAACGAATCGTAGAGTTAGCCCACCAAGGCGTACGGCCATGCGATATCAGCCGACAGCTGAGAGTCTCACACGGATGCGTCTCCAAAATACTAGGACGGTGAGTACACCTGAACGTCGAATCATTCAAGATATCATTCGACCTCCAGAGCCCTCAACGATAGGTGTGATATCTCCTCCGTCCTCCCGTGGACTTGTTTTACATACGGCCTCTGATTAGGGCTCGGGCACCCATCGGCTCGGGGGCCTCCGGAATGAATGCGGAAATTATTGAAAAATCGAGGATCACCAATCGGAGACTCCCTAACAATAAATGTTATGCTAGACGAGAGTTGCCGCTGCTGCTGCCGCTCGACTGTACATGAGTGACACCAGATTTTTTTTGGAACTTTGAGACTGACTCGGTGTCACAACTTGTCACTGTTGCGTTATTCCCTCGATGCGCTCGCTTGATTTCGAGCGAGCAGCATGAGGACTTGAAAGACGGAAGATCATGATAAAAATGTCCTTCTCCGGATTGTCCTTTCTTTCAATGAGGGATTTCGAGCCTTTTTCGAATCTGTGAGAGTTTCCTAAGAATTTCAAATATGATAGAAGGTGCGAGAACCAGGACCCCACGATCAAGATACTGGGACAAATATGTACATATGTATGGGTAGGTTGTCGTCCGCGAGTATTCCTGGATCAGCTCAGGGAGCATGGCCCCCAGGCCGTCGATTCGGGGAGTTCTGACCCAATCAGGAAGAGTAAACATAAACAATTATTTATTTTACGCGATTACTCCGCGATAAATTCTGTGTCGGTCGCAGCTGGTGGAGCGATGCCTGCGCCGTGGTGCTCGGTTGGTTTCAATTGGTCTGATAGATGAGGATGGACGATACGTGATTTGAATTTGAGAACTGGTCATTTTTCAAAATAGCGACCTGATGGCCCTGTCTATATTCAACATTGTCTGACACACTCACTCACATACAGCATAGTAGGTTCTGCACATCAACGCGGAGCAATCTATACATGAGCAGCGCTATAGATAGAAGCACGGCACGGACTTGCGAACCGACAACCACATTCTATAGATCGCTTCGCTGGTGACAAATTGAAGTTCGTTGTTCGGAACTGATAGATTGAAGTGGTGTACCTCGCTCTCGAAACACAAGCTCCATTCGTTCTAAAAGATCACTACCTACGACCTCGAGTTCGAGCTCATGAATAAACGTTAATCCATCAGCTTGATCAAGTAGAAATAACGTTTCATCGCTCCCAGAACACCAGAGTGAATCCACCTATTTGAAATTCACATTCATTCGAAACAACATCGAGCGAGTCACCCTTGACCCGAGGAACCTCAGTCCCGTATCGCAGAATCTCGCTGAGTCCACACGCGCGGTCAACTCGATACATACGAAACGATGTCGACGAAAATTAAAGCCCTTCAGGCGTCCTTCTAGAGCCGGTCTTTTCCCAATCCGCCGACGTCATTCATCGGTACTCGATGATTCCATCTCCTGATTGTTTGTACAATCGACCCGACTCGCCGCTCGTGTTCCTAAGCTGGTGAGCGGGCAGGCGGACGGGCGGTCGAGCGGGCGAGCTCGCCGACGCACGCACCGACGGCAGTAAGCAGAATCCTCCTGAGTTGTTTCTCTCGGTCGACGGGGATACGCCCGTGCAATGGTTTTGCACTTGCCTTGCCAATTTCCTCTGATACCCCAAAAGACTCCTCCTACTATTCCTCCCTTGTTCCTACTTGGGGCTACGACACCTCCGGGAATCCTGACACCACGGCTGTCGCTTTGAGTTAGTTTCTCTCACTCGTCTTGTTGGACTTTTGTTAGTTTGCCAAGAGCGTCGTCCTACCGACGTCGTTGGGACGGCGGTACTTGTATCGGTAGTGAAGTCGCGAGGACATCAGCAAGAGAAATCGGATCGCTAGGCGGGCGGGCAGACGGGCGGTCGGTCGGTCGTGCGGCCGTTGGAGAAGATCAAGTAGTAAAGGCGAAGAGGAAAAGGACCAGTCGTTTCATTGTTTCGTGCGGCGACCGGACGCAATTGATTCGGATCATTCTCGAACGGATCGCATTTTGTCTGGTCATTTCCGCAAATCATCGTCGGACGCGATTCCCACACATTCACTCTCTGAAGTGGGTCCGAGGGAAAATCTTCTTTCATGAGATCTTCGAGTAGTTTTCGCTCCTCCTATATTGGGTGCGGGCGGGAGCCGTCGCCGTCTTTGTCGTCGTGAGCCGTTTGGACATTTGGATTTGGGCGCAGCTTTCTGGAAAAAGACAAAGAAAGAAAAAAAGAGACTTCGGCGTCTTTCCCGTGTCTGAGCGTGGGAGAATTTTGTCGTTCTAAAGCATGATGACCAGACGCCCTCGGCACGTCTCTGTCCATCTTCTCGCCGCCTCTTCAAGAGTTGTTCATTTGATGATTTGTTCCTCGTTTTTTTCCCTTGTGCGCTCAAGCCATATTGCTCCGGGGGACTCATTGGCTCAGATTGAAGACTTTATTAGCCATGTTATAGCCGATGCGGCGGCCGCTGCTGTAGCGGCTCGGAGCGATACCACTCTCTCACCATGCTACCAGTCCGGCGGCACAACCCATCAACAAGGGGTGCCGCGATTCCCAAGCGCTCCCAATCGATCGGCTTCGCCGCTCTCGGAAAATTGCGTTCCTCCGCTTTTATACGTTCCCTGGTTTACATCGCCTCACGATCGGATTGTCCTCGGCGCAGGTTCCGGGTTCAGTCGATGCTAGTCCGCCACGAACTCGGACGATATGAGAGGAGGCCGTGTCACCCTAGAAGAGATCATTATTTGTAGAATGCGTCTAATAAGAGGGAAATCAATCAGAGCAGTCTTCGGCGCAGAGTCGGTCAGACAATGTTTCGACGATGCGGTGCGAACAGAGTCGAGACTCTCTCCGCGGCTCGCACTCGAAGAAATGAAGAGAGACATCAAAAAAGCTGAGGTTTTCAACAGCTGTTGAATACCCGCAGTGAAGTCAACTGGTGAGGTGCATTGTCCTCCCCGGGGTAGTCGTCGACTGTGTTGTCCTTTCTCTCTCGACTTCTCTCCTAGTCGCTCTCCACTCGCCTGAATCTCGCTGCGACCGATCCCTCGTTCGCTTTTTCTGCTGCTATATTGTACAAGTTAAGGATGATGATGATGTCTACGAACGGGTTCGACGACGCCATTGTATCTCCATCGAGCAGTTCGCTACTTTCTCGCCTGCCTGCTTTCGCCCTGTTGCCAGGCCTGTCAATAGTGGCGAAACGCTTCTGGGCTGACGCAGGGCTCTCGATCACGCGTTCAGTCGAAAGCAAAACTCCGGCCACCAAATCAGTGTCATCAACTATGCGCAACGAGCTGCGGTCCCCTCGTGGCGAGCTTGTTAGTTGTGTCGTGGAGAAAGTCAAGCGGATTATCCCTCTACTATGTAGACACAAAGGCGTGCAAGCGGATGAACGAACGAGGGGGATTCGAGTGCAATGACAAGAGAGCGTTTGCAGAGCGAGAACAAATATTTGGCGACGAGCATTACTGGGGAGGGTCCGAACACCGGATGATGGTCGATCGAGATGATCCGAAAGACAAATGCGAACAGAAAGATGATGATTCGGGAAGACTCCCTGTACTAGTCTGCAAATATTCGACGCAAGGCCCGGACGTCTTCAGATAACGTATTGTGATGGTAAAGCGAGCCATCAGTGAGCACAGCGATCAACACCCGGCATACATACATAACATCATTTGAGAAACGGCCAGCGCGAAAAAGTCCAAGCACTCAAACGAACACCAAACACTTTTCTAATGGAGGTATCACGACTGTGGACGCGCTCGAGCGCACATCCAAGGTCTGGATGACATTCCCCGATTCTGGCCACGCTTCGACCCAGCATGCTGACACCCGTTGTATAACTGGTCGAGAAGAAAATGGGAAAACATCTGTTTTCCCCCGCTTGTCAACACCGAGATGGGTGAAGTTCGCTTGAGAATGATTCTTCTGAAGAAATCATTCTGACAAGATGCATCTTTTCGGGCGCAAGTGTTGCGCACGACATTTTGTCTGTGGATCCGATTCTCATCAACGTGTTGGCTTCCGAGGGTCCCGTCGTTTCGCTCGATAACTTCCGGCGCTCATAGGTCTTGAATAATTATTCGTTTAAGGGAACAACAACTGACGAATCTTCTTCTCTATCCGCAGTTACTACGAAACGGGTTCTATTCGTCCAGGAGTGATCGGTGGTAGTAAGCCTAAAGTAGCAACCCCCAAGGTAGTCGATGCAATTGCAAACTACAAAAAACAAAATCCAACCATGTTCGCCTGGGAGATCAGAGATCGCCTGCTGGCCGACGGTGTTTGTGACCAGGACAACATTCCCTCAGTCTCCTCAATTAACAGGTAAGTGAATCAATGTCCGACCGAGGGGATTCCTCTCCGGTGAGAAGAGCCTGGCCGATAGGGGAAGGGAGGGCGAGCGATTCGGAATGCGTTTTCGCTCGAGAAAACCGACCGGGTCCGTAGGTCGCTTCAGATCATGAATGCTCACCGGGAGAGGGGAGCGTGCCCTCAAAAAAACCCCGACGGTTGGATTCGGCTCTCAAAGCTATCAATATCGAGGTAGTCCTGCCCGCGCTATACGCTGGTCTCCGTCGTTCTCGTGGTGGTGTTCATGATAATGGCTGAAGTAATAAAGTAGCGATGCAGGCAGGGATAGATGGAGTTTGATTTGAGCGAGCATAACGAGGGTGAGATGTCAGAGCCTTGAATGGATTTATGGTCTCCAACGACTCCCAGGGGGTAAAGCGAGCTTTTTAATTGTAATCTCACACTTCATTATTGATCAAGCTGCGCGAAAGCGAGCTCCGATAATAATCGAGTGCACAGTGTTCGACAAGCGGGAAGTCATGAGGTAAGCAAGAGAGCTGCTCTTGACTGAAGGCAGACACGAAGCCTCCGGAAAAAAATCCGAGTCAAGGATTCCAAGTGGACTGCGGGGCAGTCCCCCGGAGATCTGCGGGTACAGCGATCGGCTCCGAAGATCGACAATTCTATCCTTGGATTGTACACCGTGTCCTATAAGATGCTTCCCACTGCATGATTTTCTCATTCAGACTCCGGAACTTTCCTGGTCAGCCGTAAAGCTTCTCGGCCGAGCTTGGAGTCATGACAAGACACGACAAGAGTTGTCTGCCTTCGTTTTCTGAAAAGTTGGCGCCGGACGACCCGCAGCTAGCCCGCCAGTCTGCAATTCACAGTGAATTTCGGCTGAAGTCAAACGAAGCGCCCGAGCGGAGGTGGGCGTTGGGTCTATTTCTGACAGCACAATACGACAGACTCCGCGGCGTCGTTGGCCGCCGCCGTCTTCGTCATCAGGCATTACATAAGCAGAAGCGAGCACGGTTATTTGATTTGATCGCAGTTCGCTAGACTCTCCGTCGGTCATTCTTGTCCTGCGGATTCTAAAGCGCTCGTTGAGTCGTTGAGAAAGCCGACCGACCGACCGTCCGTCCGTCTATCCCTTGGTCGGGCAGGCGAACTTTGCGTCCGTCAGCCACTTCCCTAGTCCGTTTTCGTTCGTTCACTCAGTCAGTCAAAGTGCGTTTGTATAACAATGTTATCCGAGGCAAGGCCGGGTGGCTCGCTGACTGGCCGAGCTACTGGCGTGATCTCTGGTGGCATCCGGTTGTCATCTGGTGGCTGGTCGTACCTCAAATCTGCACTCTCGATCGAGGCGTTGGGTTTGGGAACAACGCGGCTCTTTGTCATTGGTCCGGCAGACCCCAGACCCGCCGCCCGGGAGAGTATCAACTTTAATGAACTCTACCACTCTGGGCCATTCGTCGTCGCTGAGACTGAGGCTGCTGCTGCTATGGCTGCCGCGGCAGAGGTCCAGATCAAGCAACCTAACGACCATGACGGTCACGACGATTCCGAAAGCCTCCATGCCATGTCAAGCCAGTTTTGCTCTCGGGATCAATGACATGACCTCTGGAAGGAAAATCTAGAATGAATCTACGCGCGGCATATCGTTCGGGCGACCGATGTCGTCCCGCCGAAAGCAGAACGACCGTTTCGGGTCCGAGTTTCCGCTCTCGCAGACTCGAGCCGATCTCGACGATGCGACCGAGTCGGATATTTTTCCTCATCTGCTTGAAAGCCCAGCGGTGCGGGAATTCGACCAGGCAACAGATCCTCTAAGGTGGGAATTTCGTTACGTTTTGCAAAGTTAGGCCTGGAGGTGGAGGAACGACAACCACCGTGGAGAAGATCAGACACCATCATTGAGGAAAGCCAGACATGGTTTTCACTTGTTTCTCCTCATGGTGGTCGATTGCTTCATTACCAATAGAGCTTTTATGTCGATCTCGATTCTCTTGTCTAGCGAGATTTACTGGTCTTCGCCGATTCGTTTGGGCCGATCTCGGTAGAAACCGATCGACTCGAATAATAGCAAGGAGCACACCGAGAAGCCGAAAGCGACGCGAACAATAAACAAGGGGGCAAAAACGGAAGAAACTGTTTTCGGAGTCGCCGGCTGCTCCGATTGGGAGCGGTTCCGTTCGCCTTCGTCTCCCCGTTGTATCATCGCCGAGAGGCGGGCTCCCTCCCGGGAAAAGAAGGTTGGGACGAACAGGAGGAGGAGGAGGACGACACTATCGATCCTGACTGCTCTCTCCCTAGCACTTCTTCATGCAGATTCTTCGCCGACCGGTGTCTCCTCCGCTGCTGCTGCCGCGCCGCCGCGACCACCACCCACTTGGGAGTCACCAACGGCACAAAGAGTCAACAAGAGACCTGTTACAATTCGACAAGCCCGACGAACGTTGTGCTTGCGGAGAACATCGAGATTCGTTCGCTCAGGGCAACGCTCGAATAGATGGTAATCTACGACGGCAACATTTCGACTCTGGTTTTCTGTTTCGTTCTTCAATCATCTTGCTTCATTTTGCCCCATGCCTCCGAGCGATCTCCATTTACTCCCACGCAAGCCGAGAACAAACGAAATCTGTCGGAGAGGGGAGATGATACGGCTTGGAATGCTCGTCGGTGCTCTGTTAAATGTCATTCCTTAATCTCAACTGGGCTCCTCTCAGTCAGACGATCAGCATCTTGCCCCGCACTATCGACTAATATTACAGAGGCAGTAGTCGGAAGGCACACCGCAGCATGGCAAGGAAAAGTCGGACTCGCTGTCTTACGACCGACCGACCGACTGACGAACAAACGAACGAACGGGCGGGCGGGCACACGAATGGACTGAGAGAGAGCAGAGAAGAAGATTTATCAGACGGCCGCAGCGAAACATTCTCGTTCGTTCGCTCAACGGCCTGTCTGTTCACTCGGAGAATCGTCAGACACCTTATCTTATATCTCTAATGTGATTCCGATTGTGAGTGTAGCGAGCGCTTCAGCAGTTCCTGATGAACTCAGCGTGTCGGCGTATGGAATCCCGGCGGCTCGCGCTTGGCGGAAAACGCGGAGCTCTGATGTCCGAACACCTCGGTTTCGCAAGGGATCGGATCTCTTATTCTATCGCGCTCCATCCGTTACTTTTCGAGTTCTAGCACTTCTCGGGTTCCGCTGCATCGAACGAAGATTGGAATTCTAACTCCTTTGTCTTGATCCTCGGTGGCGTCCCGGAACCAGCTCGTGATTTTGCTCCGGTGCTCGTCCTGTTGCTCGTTGCGACTCCATCAGATTGACAAATAGACGCTCGGGAACGATTGATGCAAAGTCACAATCGAAACGAACGCCTCGCCGTTCCGTGGTTCCCTTGCGGTGCGAGGCATTCGTCTCGTTGCGATGGGACTGTCGAGGGAAGAGGTGTCGGAGTCAGAAGAACGAGAGCTCCAGGAGAACAGGGCTCATTCCGTGCAAGCAGCTGTGACCACGGCGCGCTGTTGAGAAGGATTAGCGATCTTGAAAGTTATACAATCCAGGCTTTCATCATCTCAAGTCGCTCAGTCGGCTGGAAGAATCGTCGTCATCGCCACCGGAGGCTCAAGCGCCGCTGCCGCCGCTTCAAAACCCCGGAACGAAATCGTTATTATTGCCTGAAGAGATTTCCCGATTCTTGCCAGTGTGGAGCAGCCGCCAAAAGTGACGAGCGACGACGTCTCCGCTCAGTCAGATGGTGGTCCTGAAATGTCGTCCTGCCTCTCGAAGTCTCGCTCCTCGTCGTGCTTCCTCTCATGACTCCTCTCGACTCCTCCTGACTCATCCTTGATGAAGAACAAACTCAGCGACGACGATGACGGGATGAATGACGGTGGCACACACATACACGTGCCGTGATTTTGATTCAGTGGCAGGGCCGGCGACAAGAGCGGGACAACGGGCAAGAGAACGAAGAGCGACAGGAGCCAGCGAGGGAATAAAGGGGGGTGGTGCAATAAAAATACCATCCTACAGCAGCCGACTTCCGCTTCCATTTCCGGGCGCAGCTGCGCTCGCCGGTTCTTCAATGTTTTATGTCATCGTCCCTGTCGTCCGCTGCTCGTCCGTCGCTCACTGGTCGTTGACGACTTTAGACCGAGAAACTTGAAGATTCCCCGAGCCGTCTTCCAGGATAGTTCTCGCCTCGAGAATCTATTCACTCTGCTTGGCACCACGTGGCTGGCGGATGATCTCTAAGCGAGCGATCCGTTTTGCTTCGGCGGCACAACAAGTCTCTTCTTGATAGAGCACTCGGAGTTTCGTCATCACTTCGCTGGAGAACAAAAGAGTAGACCCGTCACCTGGTTGATGGTGTCGTGACAGACTCATCTGTCACTTCGAGTTTTCGGACGACGACAGAAAGCGTTTTTTTCCGAAAATTCCCCCGCAATGTGTCCTCTCACCACGCGGAGGACTGCCGGACTCTGTTGACTGGACGGCATTTCGAGACTCACCGGAGTTCCCAAGGATTCGCTGCGCTGAGGCTCGGCTTCAGTGTAGTTTTTTTTGTTCAGTGGACGTGTCGGAGTTCGAACCGATGGCCAAGCTCGGGACATACGAACATTCTGTTGAAAAGAACGTCTAATCGACATCCATATGGGACATGTGTTCGTTCGAACAGGCGATCGTGGCCCATGTAATAGAGAGTGCTAGGCTTTGTTGAAACCCGATATTCGAGCTTCTGAGCTAGTCCGAGCAAGCCCACTTGCCGCTCTTAATGAAGAAGGCTCTGTGTGAGTGTCTGATCGCTCCGTGTCCTTCTATTTATTTCCCGCCCGCTCTCTGTTCGATGCCTCTCAATTCTCAATACATATGTACACCACAGTGAGAATAGTCATTTTTAAGTGACTGGCTGACTGACTGTCACTCGACCACTGGACCGCGATATCGGATCGCGTTCGAAGAGGCCTCACCGTTTCCTCAAACTTCGCACTCGGACGCGAAGCGGCAACAATTTCTGTTGCTGTTCTCCTGGAGCCGGCCGCTGCGGATCCTGCTGCTGGGGCTGATGAGCCGACTTCCCGGAAGGAATCACAGCCACGAGGAAACATATCAGCTGCGGGACAAAGGAGGAAATCTTGTGGATCGCTGCGAGCGGACTATTACGTCGCTCGTTGTTTTGAGCATCCAGAGCGTGCAGACGAGCTCTCGGGAAGCAAAACAAGGAGGAAATTGGGGTGTCTGTCAAATAATTATGAGGAGCAACGTCTTGCCTCAGGAGAAGACGCATTTTCCAATTCAGATTCTGTCTGAGCTTGAGCCAGCGAGGCTGCTTGAGAACGGTCGGGAAGAGGGGAGGAGAGGAAGGCGAAGAGAAAGAGCGAGATCAAGAGACTAGAGAAGGAGAACAACTTCGGAGAGGGGCTTGTTTCCTGGCTGGGGCTGATAATCCAATTGTTCAAAGTGCACTCACCGTCGAGCAAGCGCTGAGATAACATCTTATCGCGTCTCCGAGATCGCTGTTCACTGCTGCGGTGAGCTCTTATACACTCAATCCAAAAGCTCGAACATCTGCTTGAAAATTGGGATCCATTCACTCGATACAAACCAAAGGTAGAGCGCTGGGTCGATGCAGGAAAAACTTACTAACTGAGAGGAAGCGTCCCGGTCGCCATTATTCCGCGAGCGGTGCCTGGAGGAATTCGTACGGACAACGGAGAGATTCGACGCATGACCATTAGCCCGATTGGGGTCGATTGCCTACCTCGTCGATTCTTGTCCCAGTCGCGAAAAGGCGACGAAGAGCAGCGGCTTGATATGATTTCCGAGGGCTGTGGATTGAGTGGGAAATTTCAGATCCTTTCGAGTCGGCAGTTTCCTCGGATCTGTGGTCGACATCTTTACAACCTTGTGAAAGCCACTTAGGCGCCGATTGTTGTGTTGCTCGTAAGGACTGCTCGAGGGCGGAAGAGGGAGTCGTAAAACTGCCACCACGAGGTTAAGAAGCCGCCGAAGAAACACTTACAAACACATCGGAGCTTATTTCGCTATTCAGTCAGCAAGACGTGAGCGCCGAGGAACAAGAAGGCGCCGCCTCGGGCTCGAGTGCCGTCTGGGGGGAACCCAGGGCGCGAATGTCCTACCCTGAGTCATCAGTGTCAGAAGTGTTGAATTCGCCTCGACGCATGTTGTCCTGGCAACTTCTCCATAGGAAGCTTGACGAGGCTTTCAGATAAGCACCTTGAACTCCCTAATTGACCGCCCTCGAGAGCGAGCATACTTTCCGGGTGATGGCGCGGCGGAGAGAAATCCATTCGAGGCTGCTCCGCGCTAGAATTTCGCGCCGGTTCTCACCTCAGTGTTATCTTCACGGTCATCTACATTTCACTCGAACTGCAGATAAGCTAATCCGCATGCTCGCGGCAGCAGCAGCATATCAACTGCATGATCGCAGCAGATGGCGACGGTGGCGGATTAGAGCAGGTACTTTGTGTTGGAGCTACGAGAGTGAGTGCGTTCGCGTGAGTGCGGCTCGAACACAGCGAGCATGCGATCGAATGGCGGTGCCAGCGGCAGCTTTGTTGAGGAGAAACAAATTCAATTTGAGAAGATCTTGTTTGGCGTGCCTGCTCCGTCGAAGGCCAGCTGAAATCTCTCGTCGGGCGGCGAAAAACACCAACGCCGGTCCACCACACGCTGGTTAAGCCAGATCGGTTCACGCTCGTTGGCAACTCGCAGAAGGAGCGCCTTTTGTGACACAGGGATAGTTTGGCCGCCGCTGCCGCCGTAGGGACCAGGTCGGCGACGGTCACCGCAAGCGGTGTCCGTCGTGAGGGTGGCGTGCTCGAAGAGCTTTGGCGAGTTAATGATGAGCTCTCTCGATTGAAAAAAAACACTCATTCTGAGCTCTGGTGGAGTCGATGGATGTTTGCGTAGGATGGATAACAATGAAGGGCGTCACCTTCCCTACACGATAGAGCGTCACACTCGTGAACTCGTTGGTGGCTCGCCGCGTGGTCAGTCTGTCAGATTAGGTCGTTTCGTTCTCGAATTACCCGGGGCACGATATGGATTACAAAAGCTCTGAATGCGGAAAATTCAGGACCTCTTCCATTGAGGTGCCCTGTCACGAGCTGGGATGGAATCTACTATATCTGCGCGTCACTCATTCACAAGAAACGATGGCTATGTATCGTCTGTAACCGGAAACTATTAATTGTTTTCGAACGCTCGTACGCTTCCTGTACTTGGATGGTAGTTCGGGCTCTGAGTTCTGTGTTTGACGTTTATTTCCTTCCGTCCTACAGGATTGTGCGAAATAAGGCGGCGGAGAAGGCCAAGCATGCTCATCATAATCAAGTGTCTTCTCCATCGCCCCATTCACCGCCACAACAAACACCGTCATTGGATGCCACTCGCCCTTCGTATTCTATTAATGGGATCCTCGGCATTGATGGAAAACGCAAGCGGCAACAAATATCCGGACCTGACCAAACCGACGTTAACTGTGAGTATATGTCGGCCTCGATGCCGACTCGAATAAGCATCGCGCACGATCTATTTCAGCGTTCGCAATCAGCCTCCGCACCGGGTCCGAAACGACGGAATTCCGATTTCCTCCGTAATCTTGCCAAAACTTGCTTAGCATCAGCTGACCTCTGGCTTGCATCTTAAGTTCTCGACGCTGAGATGGGGATTTCTCGTGGCTGAGCGATTGGAAATCTATTGAGAGAGGTCAGAGCTCAAGGCCCACGTAGAACGACAAACTTATGTCTCTCCGGTCGCGACTATCACCTGCTATCCCTCAGCAAGCTTTCTGTTCATTGCTTGTCGGTCTCCTGATTCATAAATAAGGAGCTGGTGGTACAGATTAATGTTGTTTTTATGGTAAACTTCGATATTCGAGCCATGCCCCCCTTCCCCATTCGATCTCTCTTCCCGTCGTCCCATCAGACGTCCGCAAACGAGGGCCCACGTTGGTCCTATCCCGTGGTTCTCAGTCTCTTCTCCCCCTGGCCGAGCGCGGTCGCTCGAACGCCCCAGAGAGCGCCAGAGTCTATTTGCTAAAGCGCACTGAGACGGAACCAGGCCTTGGCCTCGCTGAGAATTAATATCGGCCTACTACGATGGTGGCTTGTCCTCTCTGATGGATGATCCATCGTACCGTATACATTCATACATTCATACGTCTAGCTATCCATGAGTTAGCTAGATGGCCAACTATGTGTCCGTCCTCGAGCAGCAACGATGTGTATGTCAACGTCGCGCACAGGCTCAGCCCTCGGATGGGTAGAACTCGCCCTGCAGACACTTGGCATTAACATCGTTCTGTGCCGCATAATCAGATTCAATATCAAGTAGAGTGTTGGCTCTGTCCTGACTATTAGATCGCTGCCATGATTTCTGTTTATGCTCGCTGACGCAAAACGAGAGTGAACCGGCTTCAGAGGAGGACCACCGAATCCCTCTGTCCGGAGTCACGAAAACTCGGCCCGGTTAACTCACTAATCCGGGCGGAATCCGGCTCAGGACGACGTTCCAGAACGACCTCGGGCGGAATATCGAAGAAATTTCGGTACAGAACATCACACAGCGAAAGCATCCGAAAGGATTGCGAAGATTGGACGGCCGACGGCGCGGTGTCGACGAGTAAACCCAGGACGAATGTATCTCATAGCACGCCGATCGCATCAATTCTCTCAAGAGCGAAACAAACGCGCGAACGATGGGAGTCTCACGACTGAAAATCATTATCGTTAAATCGTCGCTTCTTTCTAATATCCGCTTCATTGTTGCCGTCGTTCCCGGTCAATTACGGCTGTCCTGATTTGTTGCCGGCGCACGTCGGCACTTTTCCCCTGTCGGCAAACGACTGTTTGCTTTTCAATCAGACGGCAAAAGGGTTCGTCCGGCGTTCGGCGCTCTTGACGCCCGGCTCGTACCGAGTCGAGAGTTCTCGCGTTGAAATGTTACAATTACGTCCAAGGCGAAAGGATTGATCGAGCAGAGAGATTCTGAAGGAAGTCCCCCGACGGCGTTCGGGACTTTCAAGCGAGTCACAACGGAATTCTTTGTCCCGAACCGGGCAATGACAACAACTACTTCCAGATGTTTTGGGTCGGAAGCATCAAAGTGTCGTCGGGCCCCAAGGACGACATTCCTTCGGCACGGGTTCCGAACTTCGGGAGTTTCCCGCTCCTGGGAGAGGACACGCTCCCCTTGTAGATTCCGCTCAGTTCACGCGAAAAATTGCGTACGCCGACCCTCGACGATCCATACGTGGGGTTTCCGCCCCACGCTCGGGTGCGACGTACTATTTGAAGAACGAGTGGATATTCACTTGGTAGCTGCACGCTAATAAAAACTTCGTTCAGGGGCAACTCCCGAGAAAGAAAAATGACTCCCTGATGCTCGTTCATACGTTCGGTCGCTGTTGCGAGAGTCCCGCTCGTGCAAGGTGGAAACGTGTGCAGACGAAAAGAGTTGGAAGCGCTGCAACTACTGCTGAGGGGGCCACGCTATGAGATGGGGCAAAAATTGAGGGTGGGAGCGCTATAGAAATGAGGGAACGGCGTCGGGATAGAGGGCTGAGCCGAGCGGCAAGTTGGTAGCCTGGCGGGCGGGCGGTAAGGCAGGCAGGCGAACGGGAGAGCAAGCAAGCAGACGGACGAACAGACGGACGAGCGGGCCGGCTGGCTGAGAACGATAAGCCCGTCATAACCCCCAGTGAGAGGGAGGCACGTGTATGCAAGTTTTGTTTTTGCACCAGTCTGACCCGACTCTTCTCCCAGTCAGTCAGTCATTCGGCTTCCCATTTTCTCACCTCCCGCTCGTATCCCGGGCTGATTCCTGGTCGACAAGCCGTCAATTGATAGTAATTCTCCCGAGGTCAGATATGCTACGGGGTCATCATTATTGCTATCGAACGCGTGAAGTGTTTCGGACGATCGACAGATATTCTCCCCCTCCGTTCAGTGAGCCTCTGAATGTTCCCGATTTCTGTCGTTCCAGCCCGAGATGGACTTACCCTCGGATATTGGTAGTGTCGAATTGAATGTTTCGGTCGCTAGAAGGCAAGAGTTCCGACGGGAGCTCGGACAGAGCGCTCGCCGGTCATAGTCTTGCTCGTCGTCGTCATCGTGGTGGTGGTATCCTGTCAATCACAATGTCATTCATTGTTCGACACTTCCCCAAACATGCGAGGTCGAAATTGAGTTATTTCTCGCTGCATGCATATGCCGAGCGAACGAGCGAGCGAACGAAGTAGCGACCGACCGACCGAGCGGCCAGCGAGCCCGCCGGCCCTCCATGTCATCGGGTTCATTGTTACTCGTGCAGTGCGATTCGATTGTCTCTCGCTGCTACTTTGCTGCATCGAGCTCTCAGTGTGGGAGCGACGACTCGGCGAGCAGCAACAGCTGACCGAGACAGAGTTTGCGATCCCGGCTGATACTATTACGGAGTCCACATTACAACGAGGAGATGAAGTCTCATTTGACCGGATGAACTTGGAATCACAACCTGATTCCGTCGATCGATTGCTTCTGGCTCACCGTGAGCCATGTGAGGCAACCCCAAACAGTGGAAAGAGGGGGTGGGGGCGGGCGGTAGGTCGGTCGGTCGGTCAGAAGGGGGGATCCAAGAGATCGATACGTGCGCGAGAGGTGATGGAAGAAAGTCGAACCCGGACCAAGCGGGAAGCGTTCTACCTGCTCAGTGTTCGGCTAATCTGATTCGACTCGAGACGCTTGACCCTGCATCAGGTGCGCGGCTGCGACAGCAATCTTGTCGAAAGCTTTCATTTTCGCGCGGATGCTCGGCAATGCGCTGACGGCAAAGCAGCCACAGAGATGATATCCAGACGATGTGATGATCACTTGGACGTGTCTCGGTACCTGCTGCTGCTGCTCGGCCGAAGAGCACTCGTTGCTCGAGCCATTCGGGAGATGAATGCATGGAGCCGCGAGGGGTTGAACTTTCGTCGGGGATTCCGAGGCTGGCGAGACACAGCGGCGGCAGAAGATTACGGATTTCCTATTCACTATTCCAGCGAACGGTGAGGTTCGGAGCGATCTCGACGAGGGAGTCAAACGGCCGCGGACGGCGCAGTACAACGACCAGTATTCCAGTCTTAGTCCCAATGTGAGTACCGAGCTCGGGTGGAATGTTCAGTTCGAATAAAGAAATCCGAATGTGGATCACCGCCGCATCAGGATCAATAGTTGACCTGCCGGAGCGATTCGCGAATTGATCGATCGAGGCAATTCTCTTCCAGATGTGGCAGAAGTGGTCGTCGAAAGCGGAGGACATGAAGCCCTCGGCTGCTGCGATGGTCAACGAGATCCCATCGGGAGGTTCGGGGTCGCCCTACGCGTTGCAACAATTCACCGCCGACCAGGCTTTCAGTCCATCTACGACGTCGACGGTCGCAGCGGAGCCGAAGCAGGAGGGCGACGTTCAGGCATTCGACGGTCTCAACAACGGTCAAGCGACCACGGTCTACACGCCGCCGATCGGTGAGTATTTGTAGCAGTCGCGTCTTCAGGTTCCAGCACTTTTCCCAGTCCTCGGGCTGTCTCTCGTCCGCGACGTGGTTAACCTTGAGGTCGATTCGATCAGCTCGTTCGAATGAGCTTTCGAAATGGTTACAGTTGTCGTCGAGTCTCACTCGAGCGCTACAGATAGAGGCAACGACTGCCGCGGCAGCGAAAAATACTCCCAGAAATCATTGAGCGATTTCACGCAACAGAAACACTTTACTGTCGACCCACTGGCAAGACCGGAAGTACATAGAATCACCGACGATTGGGTGCTTGGCTCGCTGAGTAACTGGAAGAGATCCCGAACAAGAACGAAGCGTATCTCGATGATGTTAGTGCGCGATAGCCAGCCCCGTCGGTCCGTCTGTCCGTTGGGCACTTGCTCAGTCCGTCCGTCCAAGCTCTCGGAGGCCTTATAACAAGCGAAGCCGCCGCCGCCGCCGACAACGACGCTCGTGGAAGAGCCGTCTTCGCTACGCGAATCGGCCCGTGCGTTCCACCGGCGACGTCAGTCTATTTAAATATCAACAGATCTCTCCATCTCGCTCGGTTCGTCTATTCGTTCGCTTGTCATTTCGATGTTGGTCGAATCGGCCCTGAATGTCGTCGTCGTCGTCCCAACGCCGATCATCAGATGCTCGTAGGGGCGAACTTGGTCGAGAGAAAAAGTGTCGTCCATGTGAATGAGTAACGATGAAAGCGATTTCTTGTAGACGACGACGACGACGAGAACGGCGGCGGTGGTTGCGGGTGCTCCCTCTAGGCTTTGAGCCCCGGGCCGGGAAGCTCCATCAGAGGCTCCCGCAAGCTCTGCAGCAAGTGCGGCTGCCATCGCTACCACAAACGCTTACCGCTCCCCATTGGGCAACGGGGTTGTTCCGTTCACGCCCCGCTCTCTTCTTTATATTGCCGCCGCCGCTGCTGCTCTTATTGTGGCCCACTCCATCCACTGGGTCGACCGAGCGACCGCTCATAGATATTGTTGATCGGAGCTTTCAATCTCTTCGCTGCTTTCTTCCCGCTGGTAGGAGCATCTTGCACTCGGAGCTGATATGGACGAGCCGTTAGAAGTCGTGTTGTCAGCAGAAACGTTTTCTGCGCTCGCCGACGGTCGGTGTAAAGCAAGTCGCTCGTCGTGTGAACAGGCCAAAAAAATAGTGACCGCGATCTACAGATTGGTGGCGGTCAAGTTTAGCTTAGGAATGTCAACTTTTTAAACGGCTAGTTCGGCGAGCGTGACCGTTCCGTTCGATGGCATCGATCTTATTGCTGAGCAGAACCTCTGGAACTTTTAGACAATTGAACACAGAACGACGAACCGATCGGCAGAGCGCTCGCTCGCTCGCGCAGCCCAAAGACGGTCGGAGCTTGCCAAAAAAAGAGAACCGAGCAACGAAGACAGCCATGAGCATTGTCGACCTCTGACCACGACTGAAACCACCACCAAGCTACAGGAGCTCGCCAGCAATGTTTACCCCGAGACTGTGATCTTCGTTTCCTGCTGGCTGCGACGCTCGTCTTGGTGGAAGCTGTTTGAGGGGTTGAGAGTTTTAATTGAGGACATGTTCCTCAATGATAACCCCACTCAACTGGGCCTACGACACTTTCCCTCAATGTTCCCCGACTGCGGCACGTGTCTGCCTGTGAGCCGGGCGGCAGGATGTTGGCCCGGAAGCTCGCACCATCGCTGCACAAAAGTATCGAGAACTCCCCTTGAAGACCTTTCATCTATTTCTCTTCAGCGGCCTCAGTAGCTGTCGAGTGAGCACTGAATCACCGCTCGCGAGTGTGCTGGTGTTGTTAGTCCATACTCGCCAATATAGCCGTGAGTCGCCCTCATTCGAGAGGTCGATGTTCAATTATTTGTGAATTTCAAGTTTTTATTCCCAAAATCGGAAATAAATGAAAAAGCAACTCATGGACTCGATTTGGGCGAGGCTGAGATGAACGACGATCGTCCGACAAGGGGAGGAGGGGAGTGAACGAGACCAAAACACCGCTAAAACATTCGGCCGAGGTGCGAAGTGCAATTTGTCGATGCGATTGTCACACAACAATATGGGCCGGCCGGGCGGGTGGGTTCTTCGGAGGAGGGCAATCATTTTTCAAACAGCTTCTTCTCCCACGCCCATCGATGGGTCAAAGCTAACGGCTCGGAAGTAATGCGCAAATCTTATCACAAAAGCCAAGCCGAACAACTTCTCCCCCTCTGCCTCCGCTCTTCTAGCTGACTCCGAGCTTTGGGTGTCGACATTTATTTTATTTCCGTTTCGACAATCATTGTGGAAGGCTTTGCTTTCCATCGTCTCCGAGATCGTCCGATCGCTTCCTTCGCCATCGGCAGAGTCTTCCTCTGACGGGGGAAGCTCGGAGCGCGCTCGCGACAACCGCACGGTCAGTTTCGCGATGCCGGGCCTATATTTTTTTTATACGGCCAAACCACCGCTGGTTGGACGGAAGTTGCAAGGGAGCTGCAGCGTCGGTTGGAAGCAACTCTTTTGTAATTCAAATGCTCCGAGTCCGGAGATGGTGCACCGACGACCAGCTGATGCAATTTCTCTTGTGTTGTCTTTTTTTTCGAGAGTCACGTGACTTAATCATGGAAATCTTCCCAGTTCTTTGACTTGTGAGCGGAGGATAACCAATTCGACACGGCTTATTGGTATACGCTCGATCAAAAGATCCGGCGTGAGAAACTCGTCGTCGGTCCCTGATCGGCCTACGGTACTGTCTGCTCCATCGAAATTTCCACAGCACTTTCTCGAGGGTTCGAATTCCTTCGCCGGAACGTGCGGTGCCGCAAGAGTAGAGGATGCGATCGATGAATCATGGGCTGGAAATCCGGGTCGAGTTTCGGGAGCCGATACTCACTCAGTGAGCGGCGGATTCTACCTGTACATCTGCTGTTGTGTCAGGTCTACTATGGACGACACTTCTTGGCTATAGGAGTGGTTCCCATGAAACGGTTATAGCGAGGAGGAGGATGACGACGACGACGATGATGATGATAATGCAGTGCGTAGCCAATGCAGCCTTCTGTTCGGTTCCGCATCGAATTCTGAAGCGAGTGCCCAAAAAGCCTCGCGACCACCCGAGATCGTCCCTCAATCGATTTGAGACGCTAGCTTGATTGCTCGCAAAGCACACTCACACGCGCTCGCGAGATCGTCGGCTTGCCAATCTGCTTGCCTATATGCTCCTGATTTCATCCGCGATGTTTTTTCCTCCCTTTCTGTTGCTGCCAAGAGTCGACTTCATTACCCAGCCGACGATCATTCCCCTACCTGTGTGAGAAGCCCTAGCGTTGCGTTTTGAGGCTGCACTCGGTTTCCGAATGAGCGAAGTATTCGAGAATAGCCCTCTTATTTGGAACAGGACGGTCGTGTTTCCGTTGGAGATTCAGACCATCTCGATCTATTTTCCGTTTTGGCCCTTTGAGATTTTCCTTCTTTCGGTCTCGTTTTATCTGAGTTTAATTCATGTATGTTATTATTTGAATCAGGTGGAGTGATGCCTGGTCTGACTCCTGTAGGCCTCCACGATCTCGGTACGCGGTACGCTTCGAATAATTCCCCCGCCGCAGCTCCTGACACGTCGTCTCCTAGGGCATTCGAATCAGGTAATCAAACTTGTGGTGATGGTGGAAACCTAAGGGCACGATCAGAAAACCGCATCCCCAACGAATCGTCACCGTACGACCAAGCGGTCCGCGAGCGAGCACGCGCTGACGGGGGTCTTTCCGAAATACATACTACGGAGGACCCTCCGTGGAAACTTTTTTCCGCTCCGGGAGACAGAGTTGGCGATTTTTCGCGAGGTCTGATCGTGCAGCACTCGAAGCACTGCACAGAGTCGCATTCTTTCCGCACGCTCCTCGCGGGGCATCAGAATATACAGCACAAGCAACTGCACGCTTCTTCCCCGTTCTTCGGCTCGAGCACGGCGGCCCTGCTGCAACGTTGTCGTCCTTAGACTCCTCCCAGGAGAACAGAGCCCGCCCATAAATTGATTTACTTTTCTTGCTGCTGCTCCTACCCTGGCGAATATCTCCTCCATACTCCTTTCCCATCCTGAGTGCAGCAGCGGCGGCTGCTGCTGCTGCTGCTCCCGTCGTCATAGCCTGCTCTCCCGCTCGAGTAGGGTTCGCTGTCTGGGTGGGAGGAAGAACGGCGGGGCTTCGCAGTCAGGATAAAGGACGACAGCTCTCTCTGGCTCGGAGAGGCCACGAATTCACTCGCTTGTTTGTGTGTGGGCGCAGCGTTCCGTGTCCGAGCCGTCTTGAACAACGGACCTTCTTCAGCGGCAGCGGCGGCGGTAGTAGCGGAGGCTTCCTCTAGGTTCTCGTTCTTCTTGTTCTCCTTTGGTCGCCGTTCGTCTCATCATGCTCCTTTTTGCCACAACGAACGAATAGACCACGAATAGAAGAACTTCGACTCGGTCCGGCAACATGCCTTAGATGACAACAGGAGATGGACATGTCACTCACTGGCTCTTCATTCAGAGTCGCTTTCTCCTGGCATGCAGGGTAGAACTCTTTTGAATATGTCCTGCCTGTATTTTTCCTGACTGTTCCTTCTCGCTCTTCTCGACCCAGGCTCTCCACTCTGCGTCGTCCTGTCTGAACTCCTTTTTTTCCCAACCCGGCTTTCTCCCCCGAGCCGGGAGCAACTGCCTCTCATACCTGATGGGGCTTCACGAAAAAAACCCTCATCTTCCTTCTTCTCCTCGGTGCTCTTTGGCTTTTTTCCATTTGCGTATTCTTGGCTTTGATGGCGATGATGATGGCGGCGGCTGCGGCGGTGTATTCAAATGTGAAGACGTTTTTTCACTCACCGCTGTTGCTCATTCCTATTCCATCCCATGCTGCTTCCATCAGTTCGTCGTCGTCGACGTCGTCATTATTACTTCCTTTTCTTCTCCTTCGTTCTTCTACATCCTTGTAGATAGGAAAGAGGCTCCTCCGAAACTTTCTATCCATTGGTCGGTCACCTCCGGCGCACTCCGTTCCGCCTTGGCAGCACAGGTCCTCGAGCTCCGAAAATGGAGCTCTCGAGAGAACGAAAAGATGAATGCTCGTGATCTTGGCGATTGATGATCTTTCCTCGACGAAGGAAGAAGCGAAAAAGACAGGCGGAGCAATCGTGAACGGCGGACGCTGTCCCTTCGATGGTGGTGGTGATGACGATGCACAAGGAACAAGTGGTGGAGGTTGCAACGAACGTTCCAAGTTTTATGCTCTCAGAACGAAACGCAAACCCTTTGAATTGTGATTGCAGTCGCGCCGTCAGAGTCTCCCGCGAAGGCTGATAGCGGGCCGCTTGCTTCGATGGCTGCGCCGGCATTGTCTTCTTTGACGATTCTACAGCCTGTCCACTCGACGACGATACCCGGCTACGCGTCGTTTGCACAATATGCGGCACCAGCTCCACTTAAACCGCAGCCCTTGCTCAGCCTTGAGGATGCCAACCATAATACACAACCCCAAGAACAGTGTCCGGATGGTGAGACTCGGCCTTAATAAAATTCTTCGCTGTCGCTCAAAGCAGCTGGTGACGGTGCCGGTGGAGGGACTTCTGACCTTGTTCGTGGTCGATGGAATTCAGTGGTGGAGGTCTTCTAATCCGGTCGCGTTTCGAGCGGAAAACTTTCGGCGCTTTGTAGAAAATTTTCCGAGAGATGACGGGCTAATAAACGGATGCTTCGATCGAGTCCGGATCGGTTCGACGAGATTGTACAAAGGGATTGAAATCTGCATAAGAAGAACAACATAACACAAAAAAATATCGGGGCTCACGGGAGACTCATGGTTCTCATTCCTTGGCATCAGATGAATTCTCCGCTGGGCTCTTCGAGCCTCAGGATTATTATCTAAATTTGCTCATTTTCCATCTTCCAGTGACCGGCAGCGTGACGACAACGAACGCAACGGATTATCCCTATGCAACACCGTACTCGCAGTACTCGACGGCAGCAGCGGGAGCGTACGCAGCCTACGGATATGGATCTGGTTCCATTCTAAGTGAGTGAAACTAAAGCTGATTCAGAGATACTCCCAATGTCCTTCATCGAGCCATAGGAGTTTTGTGAGACACACATAGGAATTCCGAGTACTGAAGATCTCTTCCCACAGATCCATCTTATTACTACACTCACGGTGGAACACGAACGACTCCGTCGACCCCTTCAGCTCAGAGTGTCGCATCCCTTGAGAACTACAAAGCCTCATTGGAACGATGCGAACAATAGCTACAGAAGAGATCTCACTTGTGATAAGATATAATAAGATAAAACATTGGCCACAAGACTCGACTCCCTCGACGTTGGGTCGTTTTGCGTGCCCTTGCCCGTCTCTGCGTCGTCGTCCGCACGTGAGACGGTGCTGTCGTCCATGCAACCGTACCCGGAAATCCGTCGGAAAAACCGTTGTTGTCGGGAGAGGACCGTTTGGAGTTTGATCTACAGTGAGCTACACACAATGATGAAGACAACCACTTGTACACGACCGATCGTGCACAGTTCCGTCGAGCGAGTGAGCCACGCAGGCTACGGAGACTCTTGTGAATACTGTATATTAGAAATTGAAGTTGAGACGAATCGTTCTGGAGACCACTGAGATTACAACATTGGCCGCACCAGTTGTGTCGTTCATGCAATACATACTGTCAACAGATGGACAACGAGTTCAGGCCTCGTCTCTTTCGCGTCTGCCCAACTTACGCTCTGAGACGGTGACCGTCTGCTCGTCCGTCAGTCTGTCTCTCCCTACCAATCTCTTTCGGAAGGTTGAATCTCTCTTTCGACTCTACAGAGAACTCTCTTTTGTGTACATTGCCCACGAGTTTGAAGGAATCGCGGGATGCGCTGAAGCACCATCATTTGGTCACCTCATCTTGCGGCCGGCGACCAAGGGCCCTGCTCAACCCCGAGGACCCCGCCGCGCCAGTATACAGAGCATACCAAAGATAAAGAATGGCGGCCGGATCCGGATGAAGTGTCGTCTGCCGGAAAACTTCCCTCCATGTGCGCAGCGAAGAAAGCCGGGGCCGCTATATCCAGAGTCGCTCACTGTACACAACAAAGCATTACTACATATATTATCTTCATTGATTGATTCATCGATATTAGCTAGTAATTTATAGAGAGATACAGCCGATCGGAGTCGTCCGAAGACACGGCAAGGAATCGCGGGTCATGAGACTGTGCATCTGGAAGCTTCGTATGGGTGGTTGATTGATTGATGGGTTGATCGCTTGTCTGACTATCTATCTGTGTGTCGGTTTGTCAATCGGTTGTTCGGTGCAACTGAGATCGGGTATCGTTCCTCTCGGCGACTGATTGGCGTCCCACCGACCGAGGTGCGAATGAAATCTTCTTGGACAACAAACGGGGGCGTGAATCGTTGCCGGATTCGAAATTACGAAACACCCGGCAGATGAGGCGGAAGAGATCAAATGGAGAGTAATATAATTTCTCATCTTTTAGTAATGTCGGTACGAAGAAAATATAATGCAAATGTCGATGTATTATTATTACCATTACTATCATTATTGCGCTATTATAACTGTAATAGTTTTCAATCTATAATCAATCTTAATTATTAAAATCAGCAACGTTCTACAGCGGAGATAACCAGTGACCGACAACCGGCGTAGAAGGACGAATGCTAGGCTAAGCTAGGTATCACAATGAAAGAGGCATACGTTTTCTTCACTGTAAATATTACGCTGGGTGAAATCGAAAGTGAATGCTTAATATGGAACAACGACTTGTAGACAACGTGGAGGGACGGACGCGTCGCAAACTTCGACGCACCCTGGGTCTTGACTTTTGTCGAGCCGGCGTCGACCGTCGCTGATGCCCCTCCTCACGCTGTAGATCTCTGGATGTGTTTCGACCCGCACTCGTTCGAGAGTCCATTACGTGAACGGGGTGACGAAAGATCATTCCAGGAAATATTTTGTTCATAGTTTCTCCGACGACACACGATGAGCCGGATAAAAAAGCAGATTTACAAATGTGGAGGAGAAAACATATAACACACATTTTGTCGTTTGATACAAGGCGCTGGCGAAAGAGGAACGATGATTGGAAATCTGATGCCGACCAAGAAAACTTGCCTCATTCGGCCGCTGTTCAATTGGGATCCCGAATTTCACTGATTTTTTTCTCTTGAGTTTAGGTAGGCGATCTTGGAGACGCCAGAGACAGCAACACGAATAATTATGACCATGATGGCGGACTGAGAAAGGAAATCCAAGACGATTCGATTCATTATCCGCTCGCTTTGTAGCCGTGCAGTTTCTGTTGTTCTGTAGGATGCCGAGAGTTCCATTCGAGAATCCATGCCCGGGAAAGAAATTCGTACTTTTCGGAAGCTGTCCACTCTGTGACGATGACTTGGGTTTGTAGAAGAACCCTTATTCATCGAACTCTTGCACTCCCTCCCGCTTGCTTGATTTCCTTCCCGATCATCCTCCCAAAGATTTTCGCGGTCGAAATCAAAGATTGCATCGATCGGATTCCTATTTATTTCGGAATTCCCGGTACGGAAACATTGATGAGCGCTCTTCTCTTTGAAAATTCACGACGTGAACTCATCCAATACATCAGTCGGAAAATCGAAGAATCTTCTGTACCCAATTGTATTGTCTAGGTAGTTACAGTGATCCAGGAACAATGGCTTAGTGTACGCTTTAGGATTTCCCGCTCATTTGAACTTGGTTTTCTGAAAATGTCACCATTGAACGAAGAAAACACCAATAAAAGATATTTAGACGATTACGACTCGACACAGTGGCGCTTCATTCTCGATTGCTATGTACAGGACTCTCGTAGGACAACCATTTACATCTCTTCCCTCGAATAATATATTTATGGACAGCGTCATTGACTCGCAGCTTGACAGTCAGGAGTCGCCAGGACACATGTTTGGTTATACTTATCGTGCTCTTAGTAAGTAATTGAGCTCTGCCGGAGAGATCAATAATTCTTGTGGGTTACCTAGGTAGCACGAATCATGAGCTGCATCAGGATCAATCTGGCAGAGAACAAATAACATGTTCAGCATATACCACTGGACGAACACGGAGCACATTCGGAGGAAAGTGAGCCATCGGAAACTGTGCTGCGGCAGACTGTTGAGCAGCAATACCTCGAATGGTTCGCACTCCGCGAGCTCAGCTGGTCTTGGAAGGCGAGGCCGTGGAAACGGAGAGAAACGCCTGCGGATTCTGGCTCACCGAGAGCCTCTGAAGCGTTTCACGAGGGAAATGAGATGACCGGCGGGAGTGTCTTCAATAGCCTCGGCGAGACTCGATAACGTTCCCGCAACCAGATCTCTGCTACCCCCCTCGCTATCGGAAACGCCATCCATTAACCATTCCAGAGCGGAAGATCCTGACGCCAGCAGGTCGCCGGTGCCGCTAAACCGACTTTCCGTTTCTGATCCACTTTGATCAGGAATTTTGTCAACGACATATGTTCTCACGTTTTCCCCCGCTCCTCCATTCATCAGACGTGATCCGGGAGGGGTCGCCCGAGTCGAGGGCTGATTGGCGAAGCCCGACTGCGTCCAAGGCACGTTCCCCCGATCGTCCTCGGCGTATCTTGCCATCCACTGTGGGGGCGCACTCTCTGCGAATTCTAGCTCGATCTGCGCTGGTCCAGTCTGTTCGTTCGCCGACCGATGGTCATCATTCGTGTGGCTCAGCGCACTTGGGGCATTCGGAGACGAAAAAGAATCCCCGTAGGTTCCATCGTGCCTTGTAATCTCGATGATACCCACGATGATATTGGCTGCTCTGCTGCCATGTTGCGGCATGATGATGCCGTCGCCAATAGTCGGCCGAGCCCGGCTCGTCGAGATTCGAGGCTTCTGACTTTCTATGCGGCCCTCATTTTGTTCCTCCACCCACGCTAGGCGGCCAGGGCCAGACCATCCGGAAGGGAGCGTCGAGAAGAGATCCTCGGTCGTACTCGGCTGAGCCTGCGACCGGAACCCGATCTCCCTCATCACCCTCGACGGTCCCGACAGTGATTTCTCGTTCGAGTCTCCGGGACTCTGCACATCCATCGTACCGGTTCGAGCGCTCCCGTCGTCTGGTGCGATTGCGAAGCTTGCTGGAATAGTGCGGTCCCTCTGACGGGCATTTCCCACCAAGGCGACCTTGATGGGTTGATGCCTGTTGGAAGCCGCACAAAGAGCTGCCTCTAGGAGTACGCAGATCACCTGCAATGAGATCTTGACTCGTTAGAACTCAGCTGGAAGGACTCAGTGCACTTCGGAGCTCATGGTCGCGCCACTCACCGAACTTCGCACCATCATTCCGTCGGTGTTTGTATTTCCCGTCCGTTGATGGCGGCCTTTTATTGAAACTTTCCCCTGTCGGCGGCTGACCACAACTTCCCCTGCTTCCGAACCTCTGAGAACCCTAAGCTGAAAAATCACACGATTGCGAAAACGCGACTTTCAAGTGTCGTCTAATTATAGAAACGTGGCTAATCCGAGACTTTTCGATCGATTTGTTGACTCCCTGAAATCTTACTGCAATTTTGTTTGTTCCGGGGTCTAAATGGAGACGATGTGGAGAGCTGGCGGTGGACTGTTGCCGAAGGAAATTCCGGACCCCAACATATCGACCCGGCTCCGGACCGATCTGATCTCGACAGATACGTTCGCGGGCCAAAAACTCTCCGACCCTCGATCCGGACCTCGGGAGAGCTCCTGCCAGCCAGAGTGCGATCAAGAACTCCGTGGTGCAATATATTCAAATCCTTCCGTCTTATGCGCCTTTCAGACGTGGGCGAGGGGCTCACCACGGATCCTCGAGTACTGGAGATCATATCGTACATCAGCATACGTACGTATTACATCAGCGTGGGAATCGTGATTCCAGCGGCTCGAACTCCAGTGGGGCAGAGCTTCCGACTCATTCACAGGGGACGTTCCTCATTGAATCATGGACAGCACTGCCAACTCATTCGTATGCGATCGGCGATCAGGACGGACATACCGCGATGGAACAGCGAAGAAGATGCTGGAAATGCTTGGTTCGCTTCGCGAAGATCATCCGGAATCTGGACGCGGAATAATTATTCTCCCTCCTTAATGGAGCAAGCTAGGAAATTTTTCTGAACTTGGACCAGGGAGTCCATCCGGAAACAGGGACAACTGGATATCCATCCGAAAAGCTATACTGACTGCGAGCGGAGGCGGAGGGGGAAAGAAATTCTCAGAGCCGGCGATT